AGCCATTGGGACCGTAGCAACAATAAGTGTATATAATAAACACGCAGCCAATGTATGGACTAGCACTCGCAGAAAGAAGAAGAAAGATAGAAGGGTACACTAGAATCAACCCTAACAGCCCCTGGCTGTTGTGTGGTCTCTCTAGGCAAATTTACGTCCAGTAGTTTGCCATTGCTACTGAACGGTCGGCTTTCTTGATACCACTGTCGAAACCAACGCAAGGCGCATTGCCCGCGGCTGGGATCGAACCAGGCATCCCGGAATTACGACGTGAAGCGTTCGCATCGACTAAGCCACAGAGCCGACATAGAAGGGATAACATAAAAATCGAAAGCTAAAGATATCGTGCCTGGAATCGAAACTGTCACCTCCAAATTACGAATGCGTCCTGTCAGGGAAAAAAGTGTACCTAACTAGGGAGATAAATAAACTGAAATGGCCAGCTCCCAAACTAGTCAGGTGTATTAGTACATTAACAACAGCTATAGATTTGTATGTTGTCTAGTGTATCCTTATTTCTTTCTATTTTTTTCCGTGAGTGCCGATCAATAAATTGTTTGTTTATGATACAGTTGCCGTTAAGACATTTCTGTTTAAAAAAAAAGGAGCGGGGTTGGGGGAGTGGGGAGAGACCAACATCTTTTAACTGCTTAGGGCATCAAAGAGTCTGTATCTGGCCCTAGCCCGCCCCTAGAAAATGTATAAAGGATCTTAGCTTTAACAGTCCGCGTCTGTGACTTAGGCATTGAAAACGCGCTTGGTAAAGCCGGAGTGCCGGGTTTGATCCTAGATGCATGTGACTGGGCAGCAGACAGCGTTGCATTAGTTTCGAAAGTGGTATAGATAGCCAATCGTTCAGCGACAGTGGCAAACTACTGAACGTAGATTTGCCTTTAAAAAAATCACAGCAGTCAAAGATTGCGGCAGCCGGTTTCGGCAACGTCCTGAAAAAGACACGTAACTACATTTTTTTTTTTCAGTTTTAGTTTTTTTAAATTTGTTTTCGTCGCCCTTGTCTGCTATTTAAACATACAGGATTAACAGACAGCAGGCGAACTAGACTTGAGAATAGTTTTGTCAATATTCTTAAATTGTAATGCAAATTTGAATCTGTGTTAGAATACAAGGTTGGTTCAAGTTGACTGCATTCTTCTTGTATCATACAAGTTGTCCCCATGTGCGTTGCAATTATTCTTTATTTGAAGCCCTACACTGGCTAATGCCGGGGTCTTTGAATAAAGCCGAGCCTGAAATGTGGCTTAACGGCTTAAAGGGGTTTCTAGGACCTCTCCATGGGTGATCCTCATCCGGATGGTGGCACTTTGTGTCACATAATGTTTATTGTTTGTGTGATATCCTGGTAGGGTATAACAGGCAAGCAAGCTTGCATTCTTCTTGAAACTTCTTATCACAATGTGGGACGCAATTTATGTTTTTTTTTTTAAAGCCCTAACCCGGATGCAGTCCTGGACCCTAATATAACCTAAAGGTTCAACGGGGTTTCTGGAAATTGTGCCCAAGAGATCAGCATTCAAATGATTGCACTTTTGTGTCACCGGGTGTTGGTCCTTCAAAACGATGCGCTTGTAATAAGAATAAGACAAAGGCCAAGACGGACTCCTTTACTGCAAGAATGAGTAAACTATGATAAAACAGTTGTTGATGATCTGACTGGATGTTTTGATTATGTATGATTCCACGTGTTGGCTCTGTGGCTAAGTCGATGCGAACGCTTCATAATGCCGGGATGGGGGGTTCGATCCCAGCTGCGGGTCATGCCCCTTGCGTTGGTTTCGACAGGGTATCAAGAAAGCCGACCGTCCAGGAGCAATGGCAAACTACTGGCGTAAATTTGCCTCGAAAACCACACAACAGCCAGGGGCTGTTGGGCTTAGTTCTGCAACGTCCTGTAAAGGATACGCATCTGAAAAAAAAAGGTTCTATATAATACTGTATTCTTCATAATTAGTTGTTCAGAAAATTATATTATTAGTAAAATAGTCCTCACTGTGTATGTGGACCAACTTGTAGAGGCTCTACTGTAGTTTTTATTTGCATCTTTGCTGAGATGAAGGAAAGTTGTTCCCTGTGGAAATGGTAATTTGGTACTAGGTTAGGTAAACAATCTCTGATGGAAAAAAATACTTTTTCAGGACTAAGACCATGCATCTAACTCAGAGCTTCCAGAAGATTCCCAACCAGTTAGCTTCCATGTCTTACATGACTACAGAATGGCTCATTGACATAATTAATTCTCCTCTCAACAACATAATAGTGCCATGACACTGTGTGCAGTTGGCTCATCAGTTACAGTCAAATGTTTGTTGCTTTCTAAACAGCCATTACAAAACAATTAATTAAAATGTACTGAAAAAATGTTGACAAATATTCAATAAACCACAAATTATTACTATTACAGTTTACACTCAACATAGTCAAACAACTGACTCCACCTTAACCAAAATAAAAATGTTTAATTCACATTTTTTTAAAGTCATATATCACATTTTTAAACAATAAATATGGCATACTAAACAATTAAAAGAATAAAGAGAAGAATGTTCATATGTGATCATCAATTTCTGTCTGGGTGTGTTGATGTAATATCAGAAAGTATGGTAGATGCAAACATTAACTGTACACAGGTAAACTTATAAACCACAAAATACACACAATAATGTCAGTGTTAATCATAATATATGTTATGAAGACAAAAAAAATACAATTTAAAAAAAAAACATACTAGAGGGAAAGGTCAAAGGCAAGAGAGCAAGAGGTGTGCAGCAATACAAGTGGGAGGACAAAATCCTAGAGATGGACACACAGCAGTCTGAGAGTGTGTACAACCAGGACAGGAGACAGGGCATGTTGGAGATTCATTGCAGCCTATCTTCAATATGGAGACGGCACCTGATTAATATTTTGAAACCAAAGAATGAATTCCTTTATTTTACTATCCCTCTTTAATAATTTTATGTACTACTGGGAGGTCAAGAGAGATACTTTGGCATCATGGCATGAAAGAAGTAATAGTAGTAATTCTCACATGAATAAAGTCCTGTTCAACCTTCAGGGTTATCATTGTGATAAATAGTGTCACTGTATTTTGACGTAAAAAAAAAATAAGTAAATAAACTCACTATCTACATTAGTTCTACCTCTGTATACAGGGGTCCTGAAACTTCTAAAAAAATTATCCCTTTTACGGGAGAAGTGCCAAAACAGCTCTCACATGGATACCAGAGTGAAAGAGAAAAAAAGGCACCCAAAAACAACATGGAGACTAACAATGGAAAGTGACCTGAGTGCGGCATCTCTGACATGGAAAACTACACTGAAGATTGCACATGACAGGAAAGCATAGAAAGTCTTCTCTGAAGCCTCATGTGCCACTAGGCATAAAGAGAAATGATGATGATGATAGGAAAAGTACAATAGCTAGAATACTAGCCAGATGGCCAGTGTTTTAATCTCAGCAAGTGGAATTTTTAAAAATTATCTGGTATTTCCAGTCGTCTGAGCCCAAAATGGGAACCAGGAAATGTTTTAGTAAAGGAGACAAGCGTGGCAATGGCTACAAAACTTGTGATGTACTAACCGTTAATTAAATACACTGCTTGCACCATATATCCAAAATGCCTGAAATAGTGGAAAGGATTCTTTTATTTACGTTTTACTTACTACTCGTTTCCATAAAGATGGGGGTGGGGGGGGGGGGCAACATGTAAAAGAAAACAGATGCATACTATACATGACTATGTTCAAGCATCTTGTCCATGGAGAATATCTGCTTAATGTTCTTGTAGCTCAGCTATATTGAGAATCAGACTTATGCAGAATTGAAGAAAACTATTGAGAACAGATGCAGTGAGATGATCAGACACACTGAACATCATGGCAAGGCAATTGAGCAGTTTGTCCTTATCTGAGAAGACTGCAGTTTTAATATGGGATTCTGTACTTCCATTCATGACAGTATATGTTTTGGAGGTCACTGGTAGTTGAATTTCATAAACTGTGCAATGTTGGCAGACAATAAGATAATCTGCAGAGTGAGACTGGATCGAAGGGGATTAAAATCTGCTGCAATTAATCCAATCCTTTGGCCTTTAATACCTTGTGACTCTTCACTCGCTTTCTGCTTGTAACACTGCATTAACAGTATAATTTCAATAGTGCACTGGATGAATAGAAAATCTGCACTAGCATGGTGCTAGGGACAGCAAAGAAAACAACTTCAAAGGGGGGCTTCGAAATAAAGAAAAATTCGTCCCACATGGGGACAGTGTTGACTATGCTATATTCCAGGTACAATATACTGAGGGATCAACTGAGGAAAGGATAAAAAAAAATATTTGGACTGCAATGTTTAATGTATAGTGATGATTTCTGTTGACTAACTAGCTAGATGTTCACATAGTAGCAGTAGTGGTAGTTGTAGGAGTAACAGTAAAAGCAGTAATAGCAGCAACAGCAGCATTAGTTTTCACATTAATAAGTTCATTTTCAATCCTAAGGGTTATAATTGTGATATATTGTGTCCCTTGTATTTTCAGCGCATACTTTTCTACTTTATATATCATAAAATAGTTTATTTTGGACATTTGTAAAATGTATATAATTATTATTTACAATATCCTGATCACACCTTCAGGGATGTGTTAAGGATAGGCACTGTTCAATGAGTATTTACATAATATTTATTACACTGTGCATTAAAATAGTTGATTTTAAAAATTAAATTATGTCGTTATTAAATATTATAATGCTTATCATCCTACTTTAATTCGACGTGCAAGTTGATCTGTTCTCAGAATATGGTCAAACACTGACTGTCATTTGTTCATGACAAGCTGTCTTTTGACTTAATCACTTTGACAACCATTAAATTAATTATTTTGGCTGTCTATGAAATTTCCAGCATTCTTCTATTGAATAATGTCCCTGAGGTGTTACGGAAATTTCTTGTTTATTACACAATAAGTTAATGATTTAACTTCTCAGAAATTCTCAAAGTGATGTGTGAAAGTTGGTCCAACCAAACTGTTCATGAAGGAGCAAGCTTTCTGAACATTTGAGGTCATAGATCCAGGTCCGCAGCTGAATACTCCTACCTGAGAAACCTGCAAAGAAATTAATAATTAAATTAGCAAACCTAATTCAGTCAGTATCTGAATTACTAAAGGGAGCAAAACTGTTCTTCTAAAATGTAATTAATTTTTATATAAAAAAATATCATTTTATAAAAATTTAACAGATAGAGATAGTAGTCACCAGGCTGGAGCTTGCAATCTCTCCTTTTCCACAGTTCATTACAAACTTAATTCTTTTGACAGACTTCAGCTTCCTTCCCTCATTTTTGTAGTTGGAGAAAAACATTTAGGACAGCCACCTAAATTTTCCAACTGTAAACAAGTTCAGAAACAAAAGGATAGAGTGGGGAAATCTGTGAGAGTCAAAAGAAATTAAGCCTAGAATTAGAGAATGAGATGAAAAAGTGGAGAGGAATTAGGGTTGGTTGCATATAAAAGGATGGCATAAAAAACATCAAGAAGGATGCCCTTGAAGGCCTTGACACCCTAGGAAGTGAACCTGTTATGGACAGAAAGGATATAATTAATGCTTTACAAAATAGGCAACATGAGCTGAAGACCTCGAACATGAGGATAATGATTTCTCCCTGACTTAGAGGGGAAGTCTGGATAAAAAAAAAATTGTAGCAGCATGACATGAAAACAATGCAAGAGCTCATGGTTGCTACATCTGCTAGTAGAAAACAGGAGTCATCAGAGTAAACACACTGAGAAACATACACAGGAGAAGATCTGAGCACTTATGGGTACACTGGACGTGCAGTAACGATGACCGTGGAATGAACAATGAAACAAATAATGCACCTAATAGTAAAGGATGGGATGACCTGGCAGTACTGCTTATGCAGAAAGCATGGCTGAAACCTGCATAAAAGATAAACACATTCATCACTCAGGTCACCAGAGAAGCACAAGACAAATACAGAAAACAGAGTGGCAACACAAGAAGAAGATATATTTAGTCACAGGAATTTCATAAACTGAATTCCTGATAAGAATCAAGAGACTACAATTAGAAATAGATTATTCTTTTTCTTCTTAAATTCACTAGCAATAAAATCGGGATGGATGAACATTTTGGGTCCTTCGTCCACTTCTAGACTTTGGTCTTGTTCCAGAATTAGCCTTTTTCATGCATATCTGTCACTACAAAACTGCATAACGTTTCATAAAGTAACATACTTCTTTACCAATTACATAAAGTTACAAGTACCTTTAAACAGCTATAAAATATAACAAAGTAACAAACTTCCTTTTACAGCCGTACATATTTACACAAAGTAACTTACTTCTTTATGCTCCTGAGTAATGGCCCAAAAGAAATCTTCAAACTGTGGTCTACCAAAGTGAGTGACAGCTTTCAGACCTGTGAACAAGCTTTGCCCCTCCACCTTCTGGAAATGGCGCTCACAAATGTACTGTAGATTGGAGACAAAAAAATCAAATTAATAAATATTAACATAATCATTTAAAATTATGCCGGTTTAATTTAATATCATCGTCATCTTCTACTTTTGTCATCAAGCCTTAATGAAGCAGCTGGTACCGTCTTCGGTTGATAGCACTGGCTTCTGTCATATGATTTAACTTAACAATGTCTTTAATGTTGTAAATCTATCTTTTTGTTGGACCCTTCCTTGCTCTCATTTTAGATCTCAATGAATAAATGAATCATAAATTTACATCAATACACTCGGGATATTCCCATACGTGCTCCGTCCTCTTCTTCAGTAACCAATAAAGAGTTGACATACTAAGAATATCAGTTGCAACCTAATTAAAAGTCTCTCTGCTTTTCCTTCAATATTGAATATCTTCCAGAACCTACCCCCCTCTCCCCCACCTTTTCCCCAACTGAATTAGTCTTTCAGTGTATGGATTCCCTATCTGCTCTTTTGCACTGTCCATTTGACCCAAAGAACCTTCACCACATCCGTTTTATCATACAGCAGCGGATGCCTATCACATTTTAGATCTTCTGAGATATAGTGCCTGGTAACTGATAATACTGCAACCTGATAAGATGCTCAAACTATCTGATCTTCGTTTACTAAATGTTTGGCTAATGATATTGTTTCATCAGTCTGTCAGTACAGTTTCTCAACTACAAAATAGAATATTATTATTATTCACACAATACTTTGAAACCATCAAAGATGAAAACTGTGGGTAATGGAGAGTGACAAGCAACAACAAAATTTATAATCTGTTTAAATCACCATTGATCACCAGCATCATGAGATCTAATAGACTGAAATAGCTTGGCCATACTGGGAGAATTTCAAATAAAAGAGAGGAAAAAACTGTATACACAAGGGAGCTGAATGGTCGTAGACCACAAGACAGACCAAGAAGCCGATGAAGAGATAATGTCCAGACAGACCTGCAAACACTTTGTGTCACCAACTGGAAAGAGAAGGCCAACCAGAGAGATGAGTAGTGGCAGTTGATATCTGCAGCAATGAACCACAAGGGCTCGAAATTCTGAAGAAGAATATCTATATTTTTATCTGTAAAGAAAACATATTAATCCTGTGTATAAACTTTTAGGAAAAATTTGTTTTATTTTCTTTATTTTATTTGTACATACTTATGCATTAGGTTTAAATATATACTGTATTGCAGTGACCAATGCATTTTTCATAACGATCAACATATACATTAAAATGGAGTGCAGCATGCCTACAAGATAACATCACACAATCAAGCATGATGTTTGTTCAGCCTTTAGCAATCAATTAAATAGGGTGAGAGACACACTTAAAAAACAACAACTAATAAAGCATATACAAGTACACACCAGCATAGTGGTTCTGAGGTCATAGTTTTGCTGGAACTGTGTCACAAAAATGTGTGTATCTACAATTTCCCTGACATCAGCCTTCTCCACCTGTCTGATGATGTCTACCAGCCATTCGAAGCTCTTCTGGGTTCTGGTCACCCAAATGAAATACACCTGTTGGACAATTTGAAAATATTTAATGCTGTGTACACACCTTTCTTCACAAAATGTTTGTTAGATACTTGCTACAATGATAAAATCTCAAGCATGGAAGTTACAGACTAATAGTGTAATACTGTTAGTCGTCCTCATGTGGGATGCAATTTTTAATTATTTGAAGCCCCACCCTGGCTTTTGTCAGGGGCCCTGAATATAGCTAGGCCATAAATATGGCCTAACGGCTGAAAGGGGTTTCTGGGACCTCTTCACTGGTGATCCTCATCCGCATGATGGCACTTTGTGTCACAGGGTGTTTATCGCTTATGTGATGTCCTGGTGGGGTACAAAATGAGAGAAAAAGAGAAAGACTAATAGTGGTTAGTAGGCTTGCCAGGGAGCGGCTGTCCAAACAGTAAAGAACGCTGGGCTTTCATGTGGAATCCAAGTCTAATCCATGTTTTTTTTTGTTAAGCAGAAAAAAAAAATCCTAACCTTCACAGTCTGCAGCCACAATACTAGCTATATGACTCTTCATCCTCAAGCTCAAAGGTCCCCCCTCCCCCCCCCACCCCTTTTCTATTTCCCAATCCAAAAGTTGTAAATACTGGCAGTAATTAGCAGTTTTTCTTTTAACTGTAGGCTCGCCTGCTTGCTAGATGGTCATGGTTCAAATCTCCACTAAGGCCGACATTTAAAAATGGCGCTCTTCAAAGACAGCTCCCATCTTGAAACGGAAACCATAACAATTATTGAAAGTAAAGACAACCCAAGTCATACTTACCATAACTTCTGTCAAGTTCTAACTAGTCTAGATATTCTAGAGTTAGCACCATATACCTAATATCTCAAAGTATAGAAAAAAAAAGGCCTCTACATCTCTACACACCATTCTTGTTTGTCATATCTTCTTCTTTTGTCAAAATCTGCTTGTGCCGCTAGGCGTCGCAGTCTATCAGATGATCGGCAACCGAGCCAGGGCGCGCTCAGTCGCTTCATAGTTTGTCATATGGTAATGTTTATTGTGCATGATCATGTCTTCACATAATCTACCCACTTTTAACTTAGTTTATCTATTTCATGAGCAATGACAACAGTTCACAAAAGCCAGCTTCAGGCCTCAGAAATGAGAAAGGTGGTCCAAGTGACAAGAAGGAATAAAGTTTGCAATCAGATAATACATCAAGATTTTGATACCCAGTCCTTACACACCCAGGTGGATCAGTCACAGTTAAGATGGTTTGGACATTTGTGCAGAATGATAGAAAATCGGCCACCATGGGAGGCTAAGAACCAGGGAATCAGACCTGCAGTGCGACCCAGGGTTCGCTGGAAACACAACATCCCTAACTGTCAGAGGACTCAAATTGAACAAAGCCAGAAAGAAAATCGCTGATAGAGAAGTCTAGAGATCTCTCTGGCAAATCTCTACACCCCAAGGTAGAAGATCAGCGACTAAGTAAGTTATCTATTTCAACACACCAAGGTAGAAGAGCAGCGACTGAGTAAGTGAGTTATCTATTTCAGTGTTAATATTTTATGCGGTGATACAAGATTATCTAGTGGCTTAAGCAATCACATTGAACATAGCATATTAGACCAGAATTGTCTTTACATAAGCTATAGATCAGTCATAAAGCTTCCCAAAACATAAGATCATTTTATAATTTGTCTCTGTTGTTTTCAATTATGAGAAAACAAGTTTTCTTCTTTCAATGATTCAAACCAGTTATTAAAAATGTACTGTGGCGCGGTGATTTATATCACAGGCGTGAGGGGAAGTTAAGTCCAACATGATGTGTATAAGGAGATACTCCGTACGTCACTCGAGCGCCAGTCCTTTTACTATCCTGGTTGTACGGAACCTCACGCAAGACCCCTACAGCACGTCCTCGTCGTGCGCCACGGATAATGTCTCAAATGAGCATTAACAGAGCTGTAAGGGGATCTCGGAGTTTGGCGGCCCCCAGAGGTGATGTGTCCTTGTGGCTCTCATCAGCCCGCCCCCAAACGCTTGGGTGAAAAATGTTATCAAAACTCATTAGGAACATGAGTAGGTTCGACAAAAGTACAGCTAAAATCACAACCCTTGGTTAAAAGACTGCTGAGTAAAGAGAACATTGCTCAATGCTCATCCTCGGTTAATTCTCAGTGTCGTCGTCACCGCGCTGAGGTGCAACACAACAGAAACCATACATGGGCTGGCCATCCTTGTGCATCCTCGGTTGGCCCTCAGTGTCGTTGTCACCGCGCTGAGGTGCACCACAAAAGCAACCATCCATAGGCTGGCCAGTCACGTACATCCTCGGTTAACCCTCAGTGTCGTCGTCACCGCGCTGTGGTACACCACAACAGCAACCATCCATCGGATGGCTAAGCCTAAATGTCCGACAAAACTAGATCATACGGATCAAAATCTGACCATCAAAATTTGCACTGAAATGCAAAAGGCCGAATGTCCACACCCAAAGACCCCACTCGCCCGAGTGTTGGGACAAAACTGATAACGATATGCCTGATTCAGGATGTGAAATTCTGCCGGGCTAATGTACCTATCTGTGTGGTCACAAAAGTCCAAAACCAACGGGCTGCTCCCCGCTGACATCCAGAGGGCGCAGCCCCTGTCGAGCGGGAGGCCTGATACGGTTGTGAGGTTAAGCAGGCATGTGCAGGACGTGACGATTCCTTGGGTGAGCCCAGAACCAGAGCGCCATGTGCCGGCTCTGCATGCATGGAAGCCTCCTTGGATGGCGGGGAATGCCCATGATCTGCCCCTGCCTTCCCTTGAGGGCCAACTGTTCCACAGGGGGTTGCCCCAAAGGGGTACTCCGGGGGCAATACCTGCGGAGAAGGAGACAAGGCGGACACCACACTAATCAGGCAGTCTCGACCCACACAAAACAATGGACACAGTCACCCTAGAAATAGGCCTGACGTCTTCCTTCGAAGTCGGCGTACAGCTGCCCAAGAGGCAGGGAAATAAAAAACGGTTGTACACGCAAAAATCAGGTCCAGGTGAAGGCCAAAAGTCCAAGCGGACGATTAACCGGGACCTTCCACTGGAATTCACACCCGGTGTTCGAGGAAAAAAAAAAAAAAAAAAGTACTTATTTTGCCAAGTCCTAATTCAAACCACACAAGCAATAATTTTGGATAACATAACACTGTTGCACATTTTACTGCCTTTAATATTTTTAAGTAGTGTGCTTAGTATTTCAGTTAACAGAAATAATTTGTTTCATCTTATCTATTTCTTCAGTATGCACTTTATATGGCACATCAATGTATGCTAGGCAGTAAATTGTGCTTTTTTTTTTATTTCTTTGTTTAAAAATACAAGCAATTTTGTCATGTGTATAAAAGATACATTTTTGATTCCCACCTTTTTGCATGTTAGTTCCATTCCTGATTTTGACCTGAATGCAATATCCTTGAGGATGGAGGCAAATGGTGTCACCCCAATACCGCCACCCACTAAAACTGCTACATCACAGTTGTACCAGTCCTGATGTCCCTCACCAAATGGGCCGTCCAAGTAGAGCTAAAAGTAAAAAAAAAAAAAAATCATCATTTTCTGCTGGCTTAAAAAGCAATAGTGAATAAGGTCACTTTCAAACATAATAACTGTACAAGGGATCACAGCAGTACTGTAGTTTTTGTCTGCTGGTTTGTAGTCCTTGGAAGGGGAGTTTAGCGACAGTGTCTATCTAGACTCTATCTAAACCAGATGCTGCAAAGTAGGTTCACTAGATATTACTGACTACATCATTCCTTCAGTGTAATTTGGTCCAAACAAATCAGTCTAAAGCACATCACTTCCAGCATGTCATGATTCTTTACCATTACCGTTTCCTCTTCTTTTTCTACTCCTTCCTCTTCTTCTTCGGTGTTCACCCTTAACAAGGCAGTTGGCAGCTGTTAATAGCTAGGTTTCAATAACTGCAAATTTCAGCAAAATAAATCTGATTTCAGCAAATCCTTAGTTAATCACTTTAATGACAAGCTTGTTAGAGGCAATGAATCTATTATTGTTCCCTTGAGACTATGTATGTGATTAAAAAAATTATTCTACAATCTTTTCAGGACACAGCAGAACCTAGAGACTGTTCCTAAGAAATAAATAGGATTTACAAAGTTGTTTATTTCTGTTATAGTAAAGTTCATGTAGAAACAAGGGTGGCTGATGGGTTATCATGCATTGTCAAACTTAAACAATGGCGGCCATTAAATCTGTTCCTAGGTAAAGCAAGAGGTTTTCATAAATTGCCGTGGAAAAAAAAAATATTAGCCATGGACAAAAAACACATGGACACATCCTGAAAACAAACCAGCATAGAATCAACAAACAGGCATTAAAATAGGAAATAAAGGGATTAAGGAGGCAAGGATGCCTGAAAGAAACTCTAAAACAAACATTGATGACCAAAGCTGCTGGACTGGAATTCCATTATGTGATATTGAACTGACTGCAAAGTAGAGAACAGAATTGAGGCATAGACTGTGAGCCTTATGTGACGTATAATGGCACAACAGGATAATAAATGAACAAAACACTTGGCTTTGAAAGCCTTTAACATACAAGCAAAGGCATAAATGTCCTAATATTAAACTGTATAGAGAGGCTCTCATTATCAAGCCCCAAGTGATTCAGGTCCCAGCCAAACATACTTTAGTCCCAATGTGGGTTCTGAGTCCCATGTTGGGGGGCAAGAAAAAAGAACATTCTCAGAGAATCCCTAGCAAACATGTCAGAAAAAGTGGCAAATCAAAAGTATGCTGAAATTGGATGTTTTGGATTCAAAGGCACAAATAATGTAGCCTTGCTGTAAAGAACAACACAACATGCCAACTGCTCTTACAAGGGCAAATATAGAGGAACTGTTAATTTATATATAATTGCAAGCTTTTTATAACCAAGAATACCACGAACTACTCACTACTCGATTAAGCTAAAAGAAAAATTTAAAATTGTTTATTGATGAGCATCATGTGCCTTGAAAGATGGCAAAGTGAATATCAAATAAGTAAATAAAAGTATTCACATTTAATAATAGCAATAACCCAAAAAAAGTGACAGGTGTATACATTTTACTATAATAAATAAAGCCAGAATAGGTACATACATTTGGAAGTTTGATGTTCTCGTCCTCAGCATTTTGTTTACGACTGTATATCTTCCGCAGATTAGTAGTCCACGGACCGACGGCTCTGATGTGCAGACTCAAATTTGGTTCATGGGGTGCTGAGGTCAAGGTGAATGGATGGTACTCACTCTCACTCATTTCAGGACATGCTATGCGGACCCACTGTCCAGACCGATAGGAAAATGTGTTGGGTCTTCGGAAAACAAGTCTTAACACTCCTAGATGAACACATTAAAATATTATCCTTATTGTTAATAATAAATGCAAAGGTATTTGTCTTCTGTTAGAAGGGTAATGATTTTTATGTGTCATTAGTAAGGACGACAGTAATTACAACTGTCAATATCTATGGGAATAAAAGTAACATACTATATATACAGACAAATATATGTATGTGCATACATACACATTACCTTACTTGAAAAAACCTCCAGATTATTGAGTACATGAGGTTAACAAACACACACACACAAAAACATGCACGCACCCACACACTTTCAAACATAATATCCCCAAAGTTTTTTTTTGGGTAAAACTTTCTGAAACTGGATCTGCATGTTTTTAATGTAAGAGAAGCTATGCCTAAACTATTCCTACTTATATTAACAACTGTGACACAAAAATGTAATCTGTTGGTAAATTTAAGAAAAAATATTGAAAAAAAAATTTGTGTAGGTTGTTATGTATCTCTCCAATGATTTTGGCACGATGTTAAACACATTATCCAATAAGAGCCGATTTCTCTTTACAGAAATGAATATAGCACTATATGCCTGAAGAGACAATGGTATGAAAAGAGTCATTTACTTCAATATTAATGCCTTATTGTTTTTTTTTAAACATGATCAGGGAAGGAAACTGACCTGAAGGCAGTGGTGTTCCAGAAATGACAGCTATCTCCACCTTGTTTCTACTAATACTCTGTAAGCGGTCAACGATAAACAACAGTAAAGGTCCAATGAGGAACCAGGAGAACAGAGGCGCTTGAACCAGTCGTCCAACTCCATGCAAAAATGTCAGTAGGTACACCAGCCAGTACAGACTGTGGGTAAACCAAAATGCCTGTGGAAAGAAACAAGTGTGATCAGCATTTATCTTTAGTTAGGTATATGGCCAAGCTGGTATCTGTCAAGACAACTAAGTTGCTGCCAATTTATTGTAGAAACTGACTGAATGTGACAAATCATTAAACAGATTTAGTTCTTTAATATTCTTTCAAGAATATATTTGCTTGTTATATCTGTGTCTTACTTCTTGAAAAGATATATAGCTACATGTTGTGTTCACTCAGCCATTCTTAAAAGATTGGCCCACAAACTCAATCATTCATTAGGTCAATCTGTTTAAAGGCTAGTGCTAAAATTGTCTGATCAAGTCTCCCAAAAATTCCCTATTCATAACAGCTCTCTTCAGCTCAGTATATGTCACTCACTTTGGTAGACCCAATTTGTTCAATTGTCTTTTCATCAAGGCAAAACCTTTGGCCAAGAGAAACATCGGTTTAAGTCAAACTTATGGGTTGCTGAGTGAATTACAAAAGACAGTGAAGTTCATACTAGAGACAAAATTGCAGATATAGATAATTTATTTCAAGTGAATGAAAGAAGAAGAAGAAGAAGAGGAAGAAAAAGAATTGTTTTTTCCTCTACACTGATATTAATATTCTGTGCACACTTTCTGTTTTACTATTATGTGTCTTCTAGGCAATACTATTGAGCGTGTAGAAGATGCTGGTGCACTGCTCTAATAGTTTTTCTTTTTTTTCTCTCCATATGATAGCTTTATTCAAAGTAACAAACTCAAGGAGAAAACTAATTGGAGCAGCGAGACAGGAACACCATGTGGGAGCTACCCGACATTACACCGGTGAGAACAGAATGAGAGTTGTTAGCCTAAAAACACTTAGAGATGAACTCAGTAGGAGATCAGAACAGTTGTGATCATGTCTGATGTGCGCTGAAAATAACCTTTAAATGAACAACAAACAAGGCAAAGCAGAAAGTGCTGAACTGGATTAAATCCATAATACTGCTAGGACTGCAAAGAAAAGATTAGAATGAAGGAATAAACTGCAATGGCATGACAGGATGATGATGATATGGATGAGGTAAAGAATTCTCTTATCACCAAGGCTTACTGGGCACATGGTGTTTGAACCCTCTAACCAATAAGCAATGTAGTCAGCGGAACACTGGCAACCCTTACACCCATAGACATTTCCTGATATGTAATTTAGATACCAGGATCATTTAAAAAAACACCCTTTTTAGGATTCAAACATAAGATGTTTCTGCTGGCAAGCAAGCATCTAATCACTGCACTTTGATAGCTTGACTATCTGCATATGTTATGTCACAATTTATGTAATTCTCCATGTGATATTTCCTGTGAGTTATAACACAGGATATGGAATGGAAGGCTAGAATGCAAGCCCTATGTGACTTTTAACGACATAACAGAATGATGATGATGATGAATGTTTTTGGTTGCTTCACCCATCTATCCCAAATAAACATTGATGGAGTAATAACAGACAGCTATTCCTTACTCGTTTTTGTGTGTGATTGGAAATGGACATGTAATCAGTGAGTAGTTCATGTTTTTTTTCCTGGTATTTGCAGATACTTTTTACTGATTAACTCTTTGAGTCCCAAAAGAAAGTAATAAAATCAGCTCATCATGCGTTCATTGGGCTTCTAGGTAGGAACCTATGAACCTATGATACGTTCCTTGGGACTCAAAGAGTTAAATCAGTGTTTTTATTTCACTGTAACAAAGATATATTTGTTGCATATGTCACACAAACACACACACAAAAAAAACAAAGGCCAGGAATAAGTTTATACAGTCAAATTATTTTTCACAATGAAATCCTTACCTTAAAAACATGTCTGCGAGCAAACTGTGTGGCAAAAACATACATTACAAAGATCAACGCAGTGACAAGGACTCCAGCAAGGCCTGCAGAGGAAGGAAATGAATAATTAAAACTGCCATTACTACAGGTGCAACACTATCAAAAATAAAAATGCAAACAGCCACCATTGTTATTATATTGAATAATGTATGGATTTAGCTATACATGAAGTAAAACACTGACAACTAAATGGTTGAATGAAGTGGTTGCAATACACCAGTTGGCAGTTCTCCAAATGTAAATTAAATGCAAGCTAATCTATCTGACAATTAATGAATTAACAAAATTAATGTTTCATAAAAATTAATAATAACAATAATATTGAATGTTTTATTAAATTCAAACAAACTAATAAAGAAACTTATTAATATTTAAAAAAAAAATTCAAACAAAAACTAGCAGTAACAACCTGTAAAGTATGTTCTATACACATCTACAGTAGACACATGAATGTTTTTTCTTTAAAATGCAAAAGAATTTCATTTCATTTGAAGCTGTTGTATTTAGAAGATTATTTTCAATCTCATGCACTCACACAATGTCATAAACACTAAAGCTGTGGTTCTGTTGTAATAACTATTTTAATGCATTTTTACTATTGTAGACAACACAAATTTTTAATCAAACTTAAAGATTAAAAAAAAAAAAATACAGCCACTGACATTTTTAAGTAGAATCCTTAGAGAGTCCTATTTATGTTTTGGCATCAACTGCACTGAGCAACTTTTTAACCAAATAAAGATAGGCATTACTGATCTCATCAAATGTCTTTATTAGAGACTTATCTAATAAATGTCTTATAAAGTTAAGTCGGTTATCCTCCGAATAGCGGGCACAAAAGATGGTGGCCAATGGCGCCTAAAAACAGGGCCTCAGTCACGTGTCAATTGCGCACTTCGGGCAACCAAATTTGTTGTTTTCTGGCAACTACTGTCACTGCCAAAAGTATCCCCCAGGACGCTCACACGGTGTGGATTGGGGCTAAACTAGATGGCTAGGACTCACAAGCAAAGCTGCAGGAGATGCGGAAGCTGCCCCAATCCACACCGCGGGGATGCTCTCAGCGGTGGGGGTAGTCGCCAGAAAACTGCAAATTAAGTCGCTGGAAGTGCGCAATTTACACGTGACTGAGGCTCTGTTAGGATGTTTTTGCGGCCGCCATCTTGTGTGCCCGTTATTCGGAGGATAACCGTTAAGTCTATCCAGGGCTTTTCCTTGTGGTACACAAAGATACGTAGTACCTATACCTTTTTTAAGGTACCTTTTTACAGGACTCTTTTAACAGACATTGCATAGTGAGTACCAATACCATTTTTTATAGATTTTTTGTGGTGATTGTTTCCTAGAAAAAAGCCTTGAGTCTATCCCCAAAACATATTCAATCAAAACGAAATGTCTTCTTGAATGTGAACTGAATCATGACTATGGTAGTAGAAGCAAACTAATTATATGGCATACCTGTTATAGTCTGGAAGGCCCAGTAATGAAAAGTTGCAAAAGAATCTGACCTGAAATTAGAAATGGTAATAAAAAAAGAGGAAAGATTTAATCAACGTTAATCGTTAAAAATACTAAAACAACAATAATTACCAATATGAAAACTGATTTTATTCTTGACACTAAAATACATATGTAGATATGTTACAGAAGTGAAGAGAATATTTCTTTAGCTGGAGAAACAGTCAAAATTAAATCTATAGTTGCGAAGAAATTGTTTTATTGCCAAACTGGTCAGTTAATTCCTATGATAGAGAAGTTAACTAGGAAATGATTTCACAAGCTATTCCTAGCATTTATTAAAAAAAAAAAACAATTATAAAAAAATGGGACACCCGAACCAACACAGGGACTATAGTAATACATTCTTCCTTTCCTGTATTCTATTTCAGAAACCTTCACCTATATTAATCTTTTGTATCTGAATGATACTTTAGCTACATCTGATTAAAGTTTCTCTACCTCCTTCGAACCTAAGTCGACATTGCTTTTTATACCTCCTTCAAACCTAAGTTGACGTTACTTCTAATCTCAATGTCTTTTGATAGAAGTTGCTTAAACAATAACTGCTTGAAACTGAAAAGGATAAAAATGAACACCATATTTCATTGCCTGTATTATGAAAAATAGGCTCACTCCTCCCCACCTCTCATCACCCTGCCTACCTCAACAAGCATGTCATAAAAGTCAACCAATTAGATGTGCTTCCTTTAAAGTCGGAGTACATCTGCCTGAGACGTGTGGAACCAACAGTCTGCATACAAAATAAGCCAGACTTATAAAATAGATGCTTCATATGATTTTTGAGACAACATTGTGGGGAAAGAATAGAGCCACTGCCTCAACATGTCATAGGAGTCGACCAGTTGGGCTCCAAGTGGAGGCAGTCACTGCTGCTTTCCGCTGGCTTGAGAATCAGCTGCATACACATGCCGTCATTGTAACTGACTCACAGATCATGTTGAGAAAAGTGGAGACAGGCATGCTCCATGCAGAAGGGTAGGCATCACTTTAGAGGTCTTGGTTTGTTAGCATCCTTTGGGTAGTTTCTCCAGGTCATGCTGGTTTGTTGGGAAATGAGCAGGCAGATAGACTGTCCGGTTCTACACCACTTGGTGGAGAAATGATGTATGACAAGCTAGACGTGAAGGCCCTTGGAGAGCGAGTAAACAGAGGGGAGGCACAGATTGATTATTACGGTCTGAAGAGAATGCCGCTACGAGGAGTTACCAGGGGATCTGGTCGACGCTCAGCAATCAGGGGAAAGACGAGACGGATAGACAGACAGTTACTGGTGCCATCCGTACTGGAACTCTTTGCTTGCTGCTGAAGATAGGAACCAAGCACTTATGTTAGTGTCTCGAGTTCTATGAGGTCGATTTTAATTCAACATTCAACAGCTGGGAGCATCCTACAAAGTTGGAGTGCATCTGCCTAAGCAGCAAGGAGCAACCAACCGCACACAAATAAATCAGTAAAAACATATGTACAGGCAAAACTCAGGCCCTGGCACAAAGCCAAAATCCAAATGGAGGAACAAACCTGGACGTTCTGCCGGAGCTTACAGCTGGTGAAGAAAAAATAAAGAAGAAAGAAGAAGTAAAATGGATGGGCATGAAAGACTAAAGTTATTGAACAAGGTAACATCAAGACATGGTCTAACAACAAGAAATGTCCACCAGAGTTTACGGCCAGTGAATGGCAAGGAGAAGAAGATGTAAAAGAACACCATAATTCATGATCCTGACTTAGAATATGAACAATGATGATAACTCACGATGTATAATACTCCCTGAAGAAACAGTTGATGCTTGATGTAGTTTGAGTGCACATGCAGTACAGGTTAATTCCATGAGTGATGACATGGACAACTGAAAATACATTTTAAATTTGGTTAAAATTCTTGTATTCAAGTGCCCTCACAAGGTGATGTAAAAGTTTACAGTAACATTCTTGGACTTCAATGTTACTTGGTAAGATGGTAATAATCGAGGATAAAAGCAAAACAACAAAATATACACATTTCAAAAAGCCAAAGATATTACCTGAATCAAAATAATTATGGAAATTTCACTAATGAATATTTTCATTAGTAACATTAAAAAATGCAAGTAAGGTCCTATTATCATGTCTTGAAATATATAAGGCATATAGTGATAGCCAGGACTTTTTTCTGGTAGCACACAATGGTACACAGTACCGGCACCTTTTCTTTTTTTCAGATCTAATTTTTTTAGCACTGATATAATTGACAATTTATGGTGATTACCAGCACCTTATTTAGATGTTTTATGGTGAGTACTGGCACTTATTGTTTGTTAAAAAAAAAAGCCTAGTGAAAGCCCAAATTTCTACAGACCAATACACATTCAAAAAACGACAAGGTCAATTTTACACTGACTAATATTACTTCACAAAATATATCCTGATACTCAATTGACATGTGTCACATTTTTAAAACCCATGTCTTAATGGGATTTAAACATTTAAAACCACCAAGCCAGCAGAAAAAAGTGCTAGCCACTGAGCCACCATGTCTGTCTAAAGTAATTGTTACAGTGTTAATTAACAAATCAAATCAAATGATAATGGATAAAGGCAAAATAATAATAATACACATTAGAACATATTAACTAGGTATCAACGAAATTAAACCAGATATTAACTAAATTAAACTACTGAACAAAATCACAGACAATAATGTTAAAGTACAATTTGGCATGCATTCCTTTTATAAGCCAAGTTAGGTATATTAACTCTTTGAGTCCCAAGGAACGCATCATACGTTCATAGGTTCCTACCTAGAAGCCCAATGAATGCATGATGCGCCAATTTCATTACTTTCTTTACTACCCCCTGGGCCTGTGATGCTTAACCCCCTGGGACTTGAAGATTTAATAGTACATACATACTTGTATTTCCACTCCAGTATATTGTAATTTAAAAGTTATAAAAAAATAATAACACAGATCATAGTCATATTTTGAAACATTCTGCTTCTTCTTCCCTTCCACCATTTACCTCAGCCAGATGTTGGGGGAAGATGTAAGGATCATTTGTGCGTTTTTTCCAATCTTTGTATTCATGGAATTTGGTGTTCATTTCTGTAAGCTTACTCCTGATAATGTCACTCCATACTTCTGTGGTTTTCCATTGCTCTGTATTCATTTTTAATTTTTACAGCGTTGCTCTCTGTGTCAGTTGGTACCAGGTCATTCTCATCAGTTGGCCAAACTATCTCATTTGTTGTTCTTTAATGAATTGTATGACTTGTTTCAGTAGTTGTCTTCTTCCAATTACATATAACCAGATTATGACAGGTACCATTAGTATAGGAACTCTGAGCTGGCTGCTGAAGATGAGGATGGAGCACACAAAGGAATGCCCTGTGAGCTGTAATGTCAATTCTTGACTCAACTCAACTCTTCCTCCAATTTCTTCATTCTTGATTTGATCTCTTCTTGTCACACCAGCAGCTCTCCGAAGACATCTCATCTCTGTTGTTACAATCTTCCGCTCATTATTTGAAGTAAGGGTCCATGTTTGGCACTGGTAGCACAATGTCGGCTGAAAAATCTTTGTTTTGAGATCTGCTTTGGTTGACATAGGAATCTTTCTATGCGTCCGAAAAAGTGTTAATTATCACATAACCTGATTTGCTTTCGCACATCATTTTCGATTTCTTTATCAATTCTTCCATCTGAGGTGAAAAATTACCCAAGATATTTAAATTCACTCGTTTTTTTTAAATTTCTGTGTTATTTACTTTAATTGTTATGGTTTCTTCTTGTCTACCTATTACTATGGCCTCTGTCTTATCAATGCTTATCCTCATATTAAATTTCCTACACTTAGTATTGACTTGGTCGATATGGTTTTATAAACTCTTCTGTTTAAGCTAATAATACTTGGTCATCTGCAAATAACAATTCTGAGATATCCTTTTCTTTGCTCTCTGCTTCTTTGCATATATTGTCGATGTATGTTAAAAAAGCAGAGGAGATAGCACACATCCATCATTGTGAAACATTACACTGACAAATGTCATGTATACAATCAGCTACGTAATTATGCTACATAAATGTCAACTAAGACAAACAGGCAATGGCTTACTTGTGCCAATCATTGCCAGCACTGCAATATATTTGTGAAAGGACACAGCAGAGTCAAATGGTATAAATCTGTGCAAAAACGTCTCTCTGAGGGCTAGTAAAAAAAAACAGAACAATTGAATTAGCCTTAGCAATCATTACTTCAACTGTTATTATCAAACGAACAAATGTAGGATTCAGCAATTCATCCTTTCTTGTACAGTCGGTGGGCATTGTAAATAGGTGACAGTTGGAAATAAAGCAACTGCACTTGTGTAGATTAAATGACCATCTTTTAGCAATGGCATTTCATGTGTGCAGTTTGCCTGGAAGGGTTCAAATCCACATCGGGGCAGATATTTTTTTAAATTAATCTTCTCTTCCAGGTCGACCCAACCAAAAATGGACACCACGTAACGTCTTAGGTACTAAAGGTGACTGACATGATGTTGACCAAATCAACAACTGAGTGCTTAATGGTCTACACAAAATCTAGGTCTTGCACTATATGTCGATGTGCCTTAGGCATGAAAAAAAATGTTTCACTTTCTTTCACATGAACAAACTGTGAACATGCTTCACTAATTATTCTGACGTTTACATCCACCTGCTAATAATACTGGGGATATAAATGAAACTGAATATTTCCTATCATATGAACGTTTGCTATTTTAATGAATAAATAAAGATTCACCCTCAATGCATATGGGACATTCTCACACGCTCTGCTTTCCTTTCTTTAGAAAAAAAACAGTCCAGCATAAAGTTCTCATGCGAATGGTGCCTGTGGCAACTCGATTAAAAATATGCCAATTTCCTCCCCTGCTTCCAGACTTTCTGCTAATTTTCCAAGACATCAGTCATCAGGTATGGAAATTCTGTTCTGCAGCCATACCCTCTTGATGCCAGTAAGCTAGTGTAATAGTTAGCAAATGCACTGGTTTATAGAGACAGCCACTGAGGTTTCTGGTAGTAAGAACAAGGCTTCTTTTTTCCAATCAGATGTATCATTACCTGCTATACTGATGCACAAAGCTTCTTTTTTCAAATCAGACACATCATTACCTGCTATACTGATGCACAAAGCTTATTTTTTCCAATCAGACATATCATTACCTTCTATACTGATAGGCAGAGGCTGTTGTTTGGTCTTCTCATACAATAACAAGAATGATGGACCAAGTGCGTCCTCATGTCTCACTCCATCCATATTGCCACACACAAAAATCCCTGTTTAACTCTTTGCCTTCCACTCACTCTCTTACCATCAATCTTGCCAGTAATAACCAAGTTCTCAAGTCCAATCTTTCTCATAGCATGTCCGGACAACACTGATTGACCAAATACATATAAACAACAGAGAAAGCAGAATTTAAAATATGAATTTCAACCAGACAAAGCAAAATGTTAAAAAGCTTAAATTTCTGGTAAAAGACTGACCTGTAATGGTATTGCGACACATAGTGACCAGGAGGCTGGAGTATGTAAACATAATGACACTGGCTGACCCCCTGATCATAGCTGTAACCCAAGCTCCAGACAAACGACGTAAACCAGCATGCTCACGACCTCTTGCAAAAACTGAAGGCATAAAAAAGAAACATTTGAAAACTCCTGAAATATTTCTTACAGGGTTATATCATACAAGTCATGATGAATCCTTGGGTGAGCCCAGTACCAGAGTGCCAAATATTGGCTCTGCATTTACATAAGCCTCCTTGAATGGCAGTAAATGCCCATGCTCTACAACAGCCTTCCCATGAGGGTCCACTAAACTGCACACAGCTGCACTGGAAGGGTCCTCTAGGGATCACACCTGTTTTAGGGGATAATGAAGTCACTACACATGTGAGGTTGTCCCATGGAATTAACCAGGAAGGCTAACCCAGAAAACAAGTGCCTGAAGAAGTTGGATGTGTTGGTAAAAAGGCGCCACTCTGACAAATGATGAAGAAGACGAAAAAATCATTTTAAAAAAAGGGTGCTATCTCCACAGTGATGGTTGGTTGCAGTAAATATGTCCATCCACTGTTTTATTTAGGAAAATTATGTAGTGAGACCCCTATCTTTTCCATGGTGCAACTCTTGTACCATTTTCTAAAAACAATCATCTTCTTCAGGGGAATAGTTCTGGTTGTTCTCCACTTTCCAGACTTTAGATTTGTTCCAGAATTTGAGTTTTACGTATGTATCCATTTTACAGATCTGATTTGTTTGTATGCAGGCAGATGCACTCCAACTTCGAAGGGAACACTCCTAATTAGTTCACATTATTTACAGGCAGTAGTTCTATTCTTCCCCTCCCCACCCCACAAGGGGTCCTGGAACCCACACAGGGATCTAGCAGCAATGAGATCACTGATTTTTGTCTATAAACTACCTTTCTTGGAAATTAAAACCTGGTACACGCTGTGAGTGTTGACTGAGAAGTTCTAATTTGCCCAAACAACACTGTGAACGTTGAGCGTCTGTCCCGAACATATTGCTTTGCACATGGCTCCGTATTTGTTTCTAATGTTCGGAACTACCAATAAAGTTTTCAGGGAAAATTACCCTAACATTTTCCTGTGAATAACATTCCCTGTTCCAAGACATGTGGGCAGATCGATCCGATAGCTAGCCTTGAACTCAGCATTTTCCCAGTTTTCAAGTGCCATGGATACCAACATTTCAAACACAAGTACAGGCCGCAAAATGCAACTTTCTGCGATTGAAACTCAAAAAACTGTTTCAGTCAGAAATTGGGAAAATTTTGTGGTGGTAATTTTTATATAAAAAGCCATTTAATACACAAAAACTCCTCTAAATGCTATTTTCAGTCATTGTAGTAATTCCTGACCCTAAATACATGTGTGCAGACACAAGCGATAAGAGCGCTTTTAGGAGTCTTGTCAACAGGCCACTATTGCCGAGTCAGAAAAGTGACTGTCTTGGGAAACTGGACCAAAACAGAAATGTAAATTCTGTGGCATTAAGAAGCATATCAGTAATACAACAAAGAACCTACTGTATATTCTTTTTCAAAGCATGAAATGGATTAATTAACTGTTAAATCTTTATACTTGAATTTTATACACATCAAGAAGTATGTCAAACAATATGAGTACCACGAAATGTCATGGGAAGTAAAGGCAGCTGATGTGAAACTGATCAAATCACACACTGAGCACTGAAAGATGTAACAATTTGGAGCTGAAACTGATCAAATCACAACTGAGTACTGAAAGATGTAACAATTTGGAGCTAACATTAGACATTTAATATGTCTTAAGAATTATAAAGAGGTCCCTCACTTTCACTGTACTAGGTTTAGACGACAGATCAACAAGATGGCACAAGCGTAGTAACCCATAAGTGTTCTGTTCTACATCTGACTCTTCACTGTTTACATATGAAATTAAAAATACATTAAGAAGCATGTGACACAAAATAATACAGAACTCACAGTATGCTCTTTCAACAAAAATCCCAATGGTCACCAGAGTATAGAGAACACCCCAGAAAATCTGTAGCCGGTATCTGTCAATAAAACGACTGATGCTGTGTAGGTGCTGGCCCAGCTTGGTTCCAGGATAATCCATTGTACGTGCTGATACCTTTAAACTAAATGGTCTTATTGGTACTTCCGTTGCTTTTGTTGTTCTTGTTGCCAGTGTGCCATTTGTACCGTTGCTTGCCAGTGGTTTTCTTGATCTGTAACATATGTTTTTTTTTAAATTTAAATAATTCAAGTCAGAATTTTGTTACTTAACTCCATTCTATCTTTGACAATAAATGTGTATGACTAATTCAGAAGCTGTAACTGTGTAGTGACCAGAACACTTGTCTGTCAAAATGATTGTGAACTGTTTAAAACCCTATTAAAGTATGATGTTTTCCCATTATGAGCTTTTGCTCTCAGGATGGCCGAGTTTAATATGGGCACCAGAAAAGTTCCTAGGAGATTGATACTGAACACTTAACTGAAAAAGTGTCAACCTATCAAAAAATATGAAGCCAGCATGAAAAGGAGTCTTTTTTATTTAATTCACTTACTAACTCTGCTTCATAAGTTTATGACACTTAAATGGCAAACACTTTTGACAAAGACAGAACTGACATTGTTAATATCCTCATAGAGAAAGATGATGATAAAGCAGTATGTCCACATTGCTGCTAAGAATGCAAGAACTGGAAGTAAAGACTGGCACAGTCAGACAAGAGAGGCACACCAGATGTAGGAGAAGTCTTGTCAACTAGCACAGGACTGGTACTATTAACCACAGGATGCTGATGCTTACTGAAGGCACCTATGGAGGTGTCACTGGTGCCTGAAGATATCCCAACTAATAAGTCTGAACTCAGAGACACAGTTACAGAAAATGTGTTGTGTATAAAATAACAAATGAAAGTATGATTTGTTTCCAGACACAAACAAGTTAATATTCTATCATATGTTAACCAGATAGTGATGTCAATAACATAAAAACAAATATAAACTATGGAAAACTTCACTAAAAAAAAAAAAAGGGGGGGGGGGGGGGGGAAGGGGGGGACCAAAACCTCAACAAATTTGACAGATCAAATATTGATCCTTACCTATAACTTTTCATGAAACTGTGTCTCTTGCTTTTAAGTGCTCTATTTTTCTCCATAGCATCTTTTGGAACATGTTTGGATGCTACAAAATAAGAAGTATATGTTAAATATAGTCTGCTAAGTAACTAGCAAATATCTTTTGATTTCTGAGTAACATTCTTAAAAGTAATGCAATTTTTAAATATGAAATGTCAATGTATTTGGTTGCAGCATATACAGTGTTAAAATCTATTCATTCACTTCATATAAACAGGCAGGGTAAATGCTATACACAAAAAAAAAAAAAAACAATCATTTGTTATACATTTGTAACAAGCACATCTAAGTAAAACCATAAAATGAAAGTTGTTGAGAGAGGCTTAAGATGCTGGTTACACTTCTAAACTTTATGGTAACCACTGTTTAGACTAAATAATCCAAACTAATACAATTATAATACAGAAGAAGTTAAAGGCGCACTAAGACAGAGTAAATAAACATAATGCCAAATCTCACAGAAGTTGAGAAATATTTATCGTGTACAAGGTAACCAATAAATATATTATTTTGTGCAGACTGGTAGTGAAAGAGTTATATGCCTTATGTATACCAGCATCACAGAAAAGTACACTTCACTTTGCATAACACTGTAATAAAAATAAAACATAACGTTGTCACTGTCAGCTACCTTAAGATTTGCTTAAATGTTAGGAAATAAAATTAAATACTCCAAAAAACCGTTACTGATAGTGACTACTTTATAATTCTGTTTTAGCCTAATAGGCGCTCATAAATCAATCCTAAATCCAGGAAGGATTGACAACTGTTTTATAAGAGTTCTAAACTGGTGATCATTGGCTTAATTTTCATTTAAAAAAATTATTCTAGTGACTGTTTTATGATATACCTGTTCATTAAAAGGCTTGCTTATACAATCAAGCATAGATGCACACTTCCCTTATAGTGAATGTATTGGCCATCTTTGCACTGCATATTTTCCAATGCATGATCACTAAGATGTATCACACTTACTCTCAGGCCTTGATAACATTTTAAAACAGGATTTATGATTCCTTTTACCTTCACTAGATATTGTTGTTTTCTGAAGAGTACTTGCATATTCATCGGCACAGAAAATCTTGCTGAAATGCTCATATGACATGCGACTTCTTTCATCCAAACCGGCGTGACGAAACATAGAGGACACTAGATCATCCACTGCACTGTCTTTGAGGTCAGGACTTTCTGCTAATTCCAGCATGGACCTGAATGTATATACAACACAAAGAGCCTTTAAAACAAGTTAATAATAATGAATGGTTTCTAAAATTAAATCAATATTAAAAGCTTTATTTCAAGAGGTGGAATCATAAATATATCTAGATAGCAAATAGTATATTGGAAGGAGTATAAAAGGGGCAAGAGCAACCTTCAAAGCTTCAGAAAAGTTGCAGAGGCCAAATAAAATTATACCTAGAACTTAACTTCAGTAATACTTTAGGGATGAAAAACTCAGAGAACAGCTAAAACATTTGAAATTAAACTACAAACAATTTCTAATTTGTGCTTGCACATAATGGAAAAACTGGAATGGTATGGCAAAGTCATAGTGTTGTGCTTATGGAGTGAACTAAACAATCCATCCTTATTCTGTTCATCTCTTGGTATTATCTACCTAAATGTTACAATGTTTTGATTTTATATGCCTCTCATTCATCTAATTGTCTCATATTTTCTCTCCTGCTCTTCAACTTTCTTAATACCATGACATACTCCACTTTGTCTGTTTCCATGATTTGCCTAAAGAATAAAGACTGACTTTTTATACAAGTAATAAGTTCTCTAGCAGAGTTAATTTCTTTCAAGATCTTCATTATGTTTTTAACTTTAAAAAAATGTCTCCAAGGTATTTCCCCTTTCTTCAATAAAACTATATTTTTATAGTTGTTGCAGAAAATCTGTTGTAATGTGATGGAAGATAGGGTGCATGTCTGGAAGAGATTAAAGGCAAAAGAAATGTCCCTATATATATATATAAATGTGTAAGCAGTAAACTTTTTGTTGGATAAAGTCTAGAATTTTATCTACATCTATTAAAAAAAATTTACATTAAAAAATGAAATAACTTTGGTTGAAGGTATAATATCAGTTAAGAGAAATACAACTAGAAAAACTGTAATATGATCTGTATTATCTAACAATTACACTTAATAATACCAAACAATATATTAGAAATCACTTACTTTTATATAACTTCCTTAACATTTCACACTTGTGTATTATAGCTAACACACAATAGATGCTGCTGATCACCCATACACATCTAGAGCAGTTGAAATGCAGTGCTAGGATGCTAACCTACTTAACAATGGTTATATGTCTGGAATCTGACTTAAGGCCGAGAGTTATGCTAAGTGTGTTCATCAGTTGTACGGATCTACGATGATTCTGCATTACCAAGTAATTTTTGCTACAATTTACAACAGAAATATAAACATAGGGTGCCAGAGCATTTATACGGACTTACTTAATCATTCTGTGAAACTCATCCTTTGTCAGATATCCAGTTTTATGAATGTCATAAATACTGAAAAGCAGACGCCCCTTTTCTTCTGCTGTGCCTATATTTGAATTACACACAAAAAAAAGTTATTAGAATGTTTTATACTTGAAACATATTTATATTTACAGTACTACTATATACACTAGTAATGTATTGCTGTGCCTTTTAAATATTCAGTTCCTACATGCCTCAGACAACTTCCTCTAAAAAAAAATGAAGCTCTATTGTCTTATTATCTGCTACTGTTATTATCAAAATTGTAACTCTTCGCTTGCTGCTGGAGATGGGGGCGGAGAGCTTATAGGAGTGTCCTGGGTGCTGTGATATTGATTGTCAAAGTCAACATTCAACACTGTCTTATCTGCTGAGTTTTCCAGTCGCAGTTTGTATTGTATTCAGTACTCAGTTGATAATGGCTTACACTCTGTTGTATTTGTGTGCGCCTTTTCCATCCCCTTCGTTCAGCTTTCTAGTCACATTTTATATTGTTTTTAGCACTACATGCATAGCAATGAAGAATATACCAGGCGGGTGTAGCCATACTGCATGCTCCAATTAAATCTTCTTTAGAGGTGGAACTGGGTATCTGGGAGATGAAAATACATACAGGGGACCTAGACTAAAAAAAATAATTAAAAGATAACATTATAATCGACCATTATGGCGGTCAAGAAGGGCTTATGTAAAATGGTGAACTCATTTCATAGGACATTTAGACATGACACCTAACCAGTCATGAATTAGTCTATATTAAAAAAAAAATTGTCATAATGAGTTAGCTGAGAACTTATATTCTATTAGGAGATAAGAGGTAAAAGCATAGTCTATATTAAACATTATATTTTTGTTGGTATATGTGGTTTAGGGGTTATGAATGCTGTTCATAACTCCAAAACTCCAACTTGGACCCAGCTGTAAGGAAATTGGTAGCAGACTGCTTTGCTTAATTTTGGCAATGGTATACTTTTGTCAATCATTCAGACAGATGAAATATCATATCCTGTCATTTATATATGTGTCAACCCTTCCAGCCCAAGACATTTAACTTAAATCAATCATATTGAGAAGTTGAAAATTTTTTTTTTAAAGTATCCAGAAACCATGAGTTGTAAACCCTTTGGCTCGGTACTATGGATATCGCAACCCTTCGGTCTTGATTCCATTATAGGTACCGTTAATCTGGGAGAAATGTGGCTTTTCTGCCTACCCCTGGGAGTGAACCCGGACTACAAGGAGTTCGTCACCCAGTCACCGCGAAGTCAGGTTTAGCCAACTACACTAGAGAGCTGGGCAAGTTAATGATTTAACTTATACATATCTGGATCAGGTTGGGACAGACAAAGCAGATCATAACTGTAGAAACCAACAAAAGCATGGCAGAATGCTTAGTACTGGCAGATTTAAACTCTTCATTTTTTTCTCATATTCTATGCTGTGTGGTATTGGTAGTCACATCTATCTACAAGCTTCTATCTCATGCAGTTTACTTTAGTTCTGACACCATCATGCCATGCCATGATGTCTAACTGTCCGGCATCTTCTCGCTCGGTCTCCTTCTGCCACTTTTATCCTCCAACTGTCAAACAATCATGATGCACTCCAGTTTTCTCCTTTTCATAACATGACCAAAGAATGTAGAATGTTTCCTACTGACGTGAGCAGTCAGTTTTCTCTGAGTCAATTTCCTTCAAGCTTCTTCATTACTGTCTATCTGTCCAGGATGTTCTCATCATGTTTCTATAAAACTGTATCTCCATCGCTTCCACATAATTTTTCCCTTATTCTCCATAATGCACCTCCTTATTTCAGGATAGGGTTTATATAGCTCTTGAGATTTTTCTTTCCCACCTCAGTTTACAAACACTCACCTTTGAGAAAAATACCAAAGAGGTCAAGAAATTCTTGGAAAGAAAGAAATTCATCTATGTTCTTGTTAGCCAGCATAAACATGTTCTTGACAAACAGCGAAGAAGGCTGCATGCCCATGGCATCTGCAAACTCAGTGATTGTCAGTTTGATATTCCTCACATCATCTATCGTTTGTGTCCCTAAGGTTTCACGATCAGTTTGGACCCTGCCTTCAAATATCTGCACAAAGAATAAACAACAGTAACTGACCCAAAAAAAGATATATGTAAGTAAAGTACACATAGGTTAAACACCCTTTTACCACTAACGATTTATTGGGTATATGACTGTAGACCCCTTTTTTTAAAAACAACTGGTACTCAAGGGTTGATGTTGTTAACATCTTCTCTTCTTTCTTCTTTTGTTGTCTCACTGTTACATGGTTGTAAACCAGTGTCATGGTTTTCTGTATTTGTCTTGAGCTTCTCGGGTGGCTTGAGTGAAAAATTTGTTCAACTTTTGTCAGGTTTCATCTACACCATTAATCATCTCTTTCTTGGTCTTCCTCTCGCCTTCCTCCCAGATTTTCTACTGTTAAAAAGTCTGAAATGCAGTCTAGTTCTTGAGTAGAAGTAGTTAACATCAACTGCAAGAAATTTTTATCTGGTGTATCCGGTACTTTTTAACTATTTCATTCATAAGCAGTATATATGTGTGATTGTTTTCTTTCTATTGTGAAACCATCACTCAATGTTTACCTGTACTTTTTTAGCACAGAATAATCAATAGGTTAGGTAGCATCTCTACTTTGCAGGTTAGCTGTCATGGATCTCTTACATTGTGGGATTCATGCTGTGGTTGTAAACCCTCTCAGACTGTTGCTCGTTCATCTCTTAAATGTTACTCTCTCATTTGCATTGCTGTCTATTGTTGTCAGCCTGTTATCAACATTTCCTTCTTGTGTTGTTTTCATAACTGTGTTATGCGTTCTAATATAAATGAAATATTTCATTTCTCTCTTTAAAAAAATTATTTTCAAGTATCTCCACAACCTGCGTATTGAATTTGTTTCTGCTGCTGCTGCTTCTTCTTCTTCTTGTTCTTCTGTCTCAATTCTGTTATGTCTTTCAGCATCAGGTTCTGAAGAGACATCAGGTGCAAAAATTTATATGTGCTAGAAGTATTCATGGCCTCGGATATTCCCTCCGTCCACTGCTTACATAGTCAGCCTCCAGTTCTGCTTCCAGTGTTTCTGATTAGCATGGCTCTCTGTGGTGCATTGTCTGGTGGTAGTCTTGACATTTGTCCAAACCATTCGATTGGTTGTCTCTTTTGTAATTAGTAATCTTTTCCTATTAAATACAACATATTCTACTGCATTTCTAGAACTCTGGAGCCTGAATTCAGTTTTCTTGTTTACTGTCCAAGTTTCAAAGAAACAAATTAGGTCTCAGTGGCTACATCTAGAATATGATAAGCCAGTTTGAAATATCAATAACTTTAAAACCTATGAGGACAGTAAAAAAAACTGCTTCTAAGAGTGCCAATCAATACTTGTTAATGCATGTGAGTAATGAGTTGAGTTATCTTCACAGCACTCCAGACACATCCAAAGGTGCTCAGATTCCCCCTTCGACATATACATCAGCGTCCTGTGGTTAACAGTGCCAGTCCTATGCTGGTTAACAAGACTCTGTGTACATCTGGTATGACTCTCATGCTTGGCTGTTGCGATCTTTACTCCCAATTTTCATATTCTTTAAGGTAATTAAGAATGTCAGCATAATCCATAGGCTGGTCATCTGCAACTAAGGTAGATAGGTAGGTAAGTAGCACCCAAACCAGGACATCACACAAGCGATAAACATTCGGTGACACAAAGTGCCAGCATGCCAATGAGGATCACCCGTGGATAGGTCCCGGAAACCGTGTTCAGCCGTTAAGCCTTATTTAACGTCCGGCTATATTTAGTGCCCCCAGCAAAAGCCAGAGTGGGGCTTCAAAATAACTAAAAATTGCATCCCACATGGGGACGACATACATTGTTATCTGCAACTACTGCAGAACCAGCTAATTTATCAGCTCTTTCATTAGCAACAACACCTACATATCCTGGGACAAAGATGAGGGTAACTGCATGCACAGGGGAGTTTTGCAATGACTCAATCCACTGTCTGCATTCAGAACCTGCCTCCACCTGCTGGACCATGCTCATAGAATCACTCAGCTCACACACGTGAGAATAGTCCTGTGATTCAAGCAAAATTAAAGCTTGTGACATCACCATCATCATGCTACTGGTAGTCATAGAAAAGGCACCGCTGGCTTCCTGAACTGCTCTGCATGCAGAGCAAGATGTGAATGCCATTGCACTCTTATGTCGTTGTGCAACGGATCCATCTGTGTAAATATTGTATGTATCATGCTCTTTGAAAGTAATGCACCCATTAATTTTTATACTAGTTATTCATTCCCCTTGCCTGTTACCTTTTAAGAAACCTGTCAGAACATGAAGAAAAAGGTGAAGTAAAAGATGAAGTAAAAGGTGAAGTGAAAGGTAAAGTAAAAGGTGAAGTAAAAGGTGAAGTAAAAGGTGAAGTAAAAGATATAGTGAAAGGTGAAGTAAAAGGTGAAGTAAAAGGTGAAGTAAAAGGTACAGTAAAAGGTACAGTAAAAGGTGAAGTAAAAGGTGAAGTAAAAGATGTAGTGAAAGGTGAAGTAGAAGGTGAAGTAAAAGATGTAGTAAAAGGTGAAGTAAAGGATGAAGTAAAAAGTGAAGTAAAAGATGAAGTAAAAGGTGAAGTAAAAGATGAAGAAAAAGATGAAGTAAAAGGTGAAATGAAAGATGTGGTAAAAGGTGAAGTAAAAGATGTACTAAAAGGTCAAGTAAAAGATGAAGTAAAAGATGAAGTAAAAGGTGAAGTGAAAGGTAAAGTAAAAGGTGAAGTAAAAGGTGAAGTAAAAGGTGAAGTAAAAGGTGAAGTAAAAGATGTAGTGAAAGGTGAAGTAAAAGGTGAAGTAAAAGGTGAAGTAAAAGGTACAGTAAAAGGTACAGTAAAAGGTGAAGTAAAAGGGGAAGTAAAAGATGTAGTGATAGGTGAAGTAAAAGGTGAAGTAAAAGATGTAGTAAAAGGTGAAGTAAAAGATGAAGTAAAAAGTGAAGTAAAAGATGAAGTAAAAGGTGAAGTAAAAGATGAAGTAAAAGGTGAAGTGAAAGATGTGGTAAAAGGTGAAGTAAAAGATGTACTAAAAGGTGAAGTAAAAGATGAAGTAAAAGATGAAGTAAAAGGTGAAGTAAAAGATGAAGTAAAAGGTGAAGTAAAAGATGTAGTTAAAGGTGAAGTAAAAGATGAAGTAAAAGGTGAAGTAAAAGATGAAGTAAAAGATGAAGTAAAAGGTGAAGTGAAAGATGTGGTAAAAGGTAAAGTAAAAGATCAATAAAAGGTGAAGTAAAAGATGAAGTAAAAGATGAAGTAAAAGGTGAAGTAAAAGATGAAGTAAAAGGTGAAGTAAAAGATGTAGTAAAAGGTGAAGTAAAAGGTGTAGTAAAAGGTGAAGTAAAAAGGGAACTAAAAGATGTAGTAAAAGGTGAAGTAAAAGGTGAAGTAAAAGGGGAAGTAAAAGGTGAAGTAAAAGGGGTAGTAAAAGGTGAATTAAAAGGTGTAGTGAAAGGTGTAGTAAAAGGGGAAATAAAAGATGTAGTAAAAGGTGAAGTAGCAGGTGAAGTAAAAGGTGTAATAAAAGGTGAAGTTGAAGGTGTAGTAAAAGGTAAAGTAGCAGGTGAAGTAAAAGGTGAAATAATAGGTGAAGTAAAAGATGAAGTAAAAAGGAAAGTTAAAGGGGAAGTAAATAGGGTAGTAAAAGGTAAAGTAACAGGTTAAGTAAAAGATGAAGTAAAACGTGAAGTGAAAAGAAGTAAAAGACCATTTTCATGTCAGTAGTGCCTCAGGCATATGCTAGACTCATGGCTGCTCAATAGGTGATGTAATCAATTAGACAATGTTCTAGTATCTATTTTTGGGACAGGTTGTCCTGAAGTCAAAATCAATTTTTAAAATCCAAAATAGCCAAGATTCCAATCCAGAACAACAGAGGCTGAAGCTAAGCCTGTTGCCACTGTGCTGCGGCAGCTGTCAATGATTTTTTTAAGGTTATTTTCCTTTTTGGTTACTTCTTAGTTCAAGGTTATTCCTAATATCGGTATCACCCTCCATTTGTCCTCTCTTTTTCTTTCTTTGACCCTTTGAAAATAAAGGTTTTTTTCATTCGGTTTCTCTTTTTCTCTGTCTTGGTATTTTTCAGTTACTTTTTATCATCACATGGAGAAAATAACAAATGCAGCAAAACTGGAAAGCCAATAGCATTATTATAAATATCAAACCTCAATGCAAACAGCTCTAAAGAATTTGTCAAGCAGGCTCTGCCTCTGATCCTTGTCCACACATCTACTATACAAACTGGATTCTGACATCCGTTCAGTTTCAAAATTCAGGCCAACTGTAGAAAGGTACTTCTCTAGAGATTGTATGAATAACTGGCGAGTTCCTTGATCCACAAAGTCGAGAATCTGATGATTCAAATGTATGTTGCAGATTATTTAACAAGGATATTATGATTAAAATACAGATTACAAAGTATTTAAAGATGGAAGAAGATGACTAAAACATACGTTGCAAAGCAAAGAAAGAAAGATTACGATTACAAAACATAGGTCTTAAAGTATTTAGTTTGAGAAAAACGAGCTAACAAACTTTATTTTCTGTCTGAAATTAGGCTGAAGAGCAACAAATCATCTTCATCATATTATGATGCTACATATAAATATGGTCCACAGTTAATTGTTCCATTCTGTTCTATTCTGTGCGATTATTTCAGTAACATGGAGCACCACCAGCCTCTCATCAACATCATCTTAGGGGTTCCTATAGATCTCCCCAAACCATTTGTTCCCCAGTTCATTGTATGTTCAGTGATTACCTGTCCACTTCTCATGTTATGCCCATTATATCACCATCTTCTTTGTCTTGCTACTAGTGGTTGTCCAGACATTTCTCTTATTTCCTCACCTTTCTCGAATTACTCCTACTTAAGGATATTGGGAAGTGTACTAGCCTTATTCAAGAAAGAGAAAATGCAGACTGAAAACCTAATGTTATGGCAGAACAGACCAGGTCCTTAGCCTTGTTTGGCAGCTGGTCTAGGAGGGAAGGTCTGACAAGCAGACAGAGACAGCACTGCTA